AACAGCAAAGCTAACGTCAGCAGAGCATGATCGTGTGCCAGGCCCGTGCCGAGTACGCTGAACTCATTGCATTGAACACTCCCAGAAACCCCATTCGATAGGTATACTAGCATCTTCATTTCACAGATGGGGAGACTGAGGCCCAGAAAGGGGACAGAGCAGGCCAAACAAAGAAGTGGCAGGGCCAGGATTTGGATCCCAGTCATTCGGGCCTCAAGCCCAGCCCCTGGTTCACCTCCTGCCAAGACCCAAGGGTCAAGGACATGATGTTCCTGGCTCTGAGCTGTCTCATTCCAAGGACAAGAGGAACCCACAAGTGAGGGTAGCAAGAGAGCTTCCTCTAGGTCCCATTTCAGACCGAGGTGCGAGCCCTCACCCAGGCCAAGCCCCTCTAGGAGGGCGGATGGCAGTTCTTCTCATGAGCCCATGGCCTCTACCACTTCTGAGGGCTCACCACTGCCTGAGCACCAGAGATGTGCAGCTTGGAGTTAAAGGCAGAAAGCATAACACACCCAGGCAAGGGCTTGTCTAGCCTTCGCCAAGGCAGGCTCAGGTCCCCTCTCCAAATCTGTACAAACCATATCACGGGCTTCTGTGGTCTATTTCTCTGCAGCTGCCCCCTTCCCCTCGGTTGCCTCAGCCTGCCTCAAGATCAGATTTCAGGCATTTTGTTATTATTCTAACTGGCCACCATCTACATCCCTCCTCCCTGAGATGCTACCCATCCAACTCTGCAAGCCCATGTGTACCCAGGGTGCTCCTGCTGCCTTTTGCCACTCTGAGTCTTCCAGAGCACAACTCCCATCTCCTGGACAGAACTGTTTTGTCTTTGAGTAAATGTTAGTGCCATCCTCCAGTGGCTTGATGCTAAAACTGAAGTCCTAACCCTGATTTTCACAGTGCCCTAAGGCATCTTCAATAGTTTTCAGTGAGAAGGGGCATACAATTATGGAAACAAATTTCATTTTGCTCCACTTCAGTTAAAAACAGAGAAATCATCCAGCCTTGGGAGTAGGGTAGGGAATGCAGTGAGGAGATTTAGGGCCATTGAAACAAACCAAGGCTATGTGTCTTGACTCCAAAGTCCCTTCCCTTAGAAATCATAGGTCCACATCCCTTATCTGTAATTTCAAGGCTAAAAGCTCTGAAAGCTTATTCTGTTTTTGTAAATTTGGTGCCAAAATTTATTTGGGAGCAAAACTTGACCCGGGCTTGGTTAAATATTCTTATTTCTTTGCAAAAACAATAAATTGCTGCCCCAGATCCCACCAGAGGGTTGTGTGATATTTGGCATATGCAGCATATTGCCTTTCTCAAGTCTCTAAAGTTCTGATTTTAGAAATGCATCTGATTCCGGGGCTCCGAGACCCAAGTCTGGGAGCCTGGACTGGCCCTGCTGAGCTGCAGAGTGTGGGCCAGGCTGCACCTCAAGCATGCTTGGTTCAGCATCTCCTATCTTCCAAGGCCATCAAAATGAAGCCCAGCCCTTTGGCCAGGTACAGCTGAGGCTCAGAGGGCTTAAGTGACATTGCTCCTGGCACACTGTCCACACAGTGATGGTGTCTGGACTGGAAACCCAGTCCAACTATCTCCAGTGCCTCTGCCATGCTTATCTGCTGCCCTGACACCAGATGGCATTTACCTTTTACCCCCAGTGCAAGCAAGCAGTCCATTGAAATTGGATCACTAACTTAGCTGGTAAAGTGGAATCCCCCAAATTGAGCGAGACTAGTCTGCAAATAAGAATGCTCTCCTATCAACAACTGGATTTGGCATTTCTGCTGACTCAAGAGTTGCTTTCTCACATTCCATTTAGAAACTACTCTTTAAGGCAACTATGGTCTGGATAAAAATGAATGCCCAGTCTTTCTGCTACCACCCACAGAGGTGTGATGAGCTAGTCAACGCCAAAGAGGAGGACGGGAGTGTTTTCTGAGGGTTGGCTTGGGTGGTAGTAAAGCGTGGCCAAGTCCACCAAGGTGGGAGCAAGAAGCATGGACTTCCTGTCCGTTCTGCAGGTGACCATGCTAAACACACCTCTTCCTTTCTCCCAGCTTCTCCTGCTCACGGGACCAGCACTGAATTCTTAGAACTCTAATTCATTGTGGAAAGGCCATGAGAAGGAACATAGCCTCACAAAGAGAACCAGATCTGGAGACTCAGGCCTAGGAGACAGTCATAGTGACAGCAAGCGTCTGTTGGCAGTACTTGAGGTGCACTAAATGAACACGTTTACTCCTCTAACAACCTATCATCACGCCTGCTTGGTGGACAAGGCAGAAGTGAGGAGGGTCAGGCAGGAGAGGCCAGGCCCCGCCAGTGTTACGAGAGTGGCCTCTGCAGCCCCACTCCCTGCTCTCACCCTGACTGGCTGTGTGACTGCGGGCAACTCTGGGGACTTCTCTGTGCCTCAGTTTTCTCAGCTTTAAAGGAAATGCTAACAGCCTCTACGTCTGAGGACCACGAGGAGAAACAGGAGGGAAGAACTGGGTAGCACACTCAGCCCCAGGAAGCAGGGGCCCAGAAAGCGGCCCCTGGCAGTGGTTGTAGCCCCTTGGGCTTGGCAGAGGTCATGGGTGTCCCTCCTGGCCTCGGGAAGCTCAGCCACGTGCTCCTTCTCCCAAGCCTTTCCCCAGTCCCACCTAGGGAATCAGCTGTGGGCAGGGTGGGGGGGTAGATTTTCAAGGCCCTGAACATTAAGGATTCTCTCTCTGAGTCAGCTGCTCCGGCTCTGAGACAACACAGACTACAAACACTCCCCACTGAAAACAAAAGAAACCAAAAAAGCTCACAATCTTAGATGGTGTCACAGCTCCAGGCTGAGGATCCTGCCTGATAGGATAAGGGTTCCAGTGCTGACTCAGCTGGCGCTCCATCGAGCCAGCCATGGAAGTCCACGAGAACAGTTGGCAACATGCCTATAACAAAATCAAACCTAAGTGCTCCTGAACTGTGGACAAGGGCTGGCCGCTCATCCTGGCCACCCCCATGGGTGCACCCATCGAAAGACTGATCCTTGGTGTGGAGCGTGTGGCTCGTGAGGCTTCATGAGACCTGGATGAAAAAGACACGGTCTCTCTCCTCCTGGTACTGTCATGGCCATGGTCACCCAGAGCCCTCAGAAAAGAGGTCAGTTTCCCCCAGGAGTATCCCTCGGGCTGCCCAAGCTCCTCAGCTTTTCTACAGAAGAAACAGGCGGGGTGGGAGACCAAAGTCCTGGGGGAAAACTTGTGGAAAGCTTTCTGGCAGGGGGAATGGTGCCTGAGCCTTAGGAGCTGTAAGAGTGGGGCAGGAAAGGAAAGGTGGGCAGGGAAGGCTAGACACAGGCAATGGTGGGAGTCAAGGCCAAGAACACAGAGTGGGCCAGGAGTTGTAAGCACTTAAAGATCTGAAGGACACCAGTCTAAGGAGATAGATGGAGCCAGTTGATGGGCCTCCAAAATTTTCTGAGCAAGTGTGAACATGATCAGGTCTGTCTTATAGCCAAGTTTATGCTTAGAGAAACGGATGGTTTATTGGGGCAGCCAGTTTTTATTGGGAAAACTGTATGAGTTTGAACAAAGATCAAGACAGCAATGGTAAAGAGGAAGCATGAAGACAGGAGCCAGGGCAGGGAGACACCTGATGTGGCTCCCACTGATCAATCCCTGCTTCCTGGTACCCTCACTACCCTGTGATCCCCCACTAGTATTCACCACTTTATGCTCAAGTCTAATGAACAGAATGCTGCACACGTGATGCAATGTCACTTTCCAGACTAGGTTATACAGACTGGGACTTTTGACTCACTGGCAACCTCCCCTTAACCTCTCTAGCTGGCATAGTCTCTCTTACTGGCATATTCTCTCTTGCTCACTCTGATGAAGCTGGCTATCATGTTAGGAGAAGCTCTATGAAGAGGCCCATGTGGCGAGGAACCAAGGGAGGCCTTGGGCCAATAGCTCATGAAGAACAGAGGCCTCAGTCCAACAACCCGTAAGGAACTGTTTCCTGCCAATACCCACAGCAGTCAGTTTTGAAGCTAGTCCTCTCCAGTTGAGCCCTGAGATGACCGCAGCCTTGTGAGAGACATGGGGCCAGAAGGCCTGCTAAGCCGTGCCAGGATCCCCAGCCCACAGAAACTGTGAAGTATTAAATAGTACATGTGTGCTGCCTAAAAGTGGTTGTTTCAGGCCAGTTTGTTATGTGGCCATAGATAACTAACACAGATAAGGATCATAGCATGAAAAATGGAAACGGTGATAGATATCACCTGGTGAGAAGTAGGTGAAGTGAGTGAGTGAAAAGACTGCAGGAGAAGAAAGGGAAGTCACAGGAGTATTGAGAAAAGCACGGGCTCTGGGGCAAGACTGCCTGCCTTCAAGTTCCTGCTCGGCCCCTTGCTAACTGTGTGACTCTGGGCGAGTCGTTTCAATGCTCTGAGCCTCAGTTTCTTCGTCTGTAAAATGGAGACAGAAGAATAACTACTTGACACATCTCCGACCTTATCATTTAGGACCTGCCTCAGCATCTGGTGCAGGGGTCAACAAACAGCACACTGCCCAGCAGATATTTGCTGTGGCACTTCTAGAAGGCCCGTTTTGCAGCCTTATGCCAGCAGGGACAAGATTTAAGTGCTTAGAGCAATTTCCTTGCATCCTACGATGCCTTCACTGGTCCTGGGTGAGGGAAAGTGCCTCATGGCCCAGTGCAGGGGAAGTGGGTCTGTGCAATTCTGACCTGTCTGCCCTGGTTCCTTCCCCTGGCAGCACCTCTGGGTGCAGTTTTCTCCCAGGGAAGCTAAGTGACCTGCACAGAAAATGAGACCATAACCTTGGCCTGCCTCTTTAATACTGTGCTTTGACTGTGCATAATAAGCCAACTTAAGTAGACTTTTCCAGAGTCAAGCCCAGTCTCTAAAGAGCTAGAGTCTGAATTTGCCTCCAAAGCCGGCTCTCAATAGCATGAAACACAGTTATTTCCAAAACCAAGGGACAAAACAAGAGATGAGATCAGCTTACCTGTCTGGGCAGAGAAGGCATGGAATCCGAGGCCAGAGACCGCTGAAAGCGCTGCGGTTGCTGTGTCACATGCTGCAGGAGCAACGAAGAAAGATCTGGCTGCTGCTGCATCTGCAAGGTGGCTGTGGCCGTGGACGAGGCCGTGGCAGAAGAGGCCGGCGGTGGCGTGGGCTGCTGCAGGTAGTGGAGCAAGGCAGGCTGCCGAGATGTGGTGGGCACTGACGGCATCCTCTGGGGGCCTGGCTCAGAGACGAAATGTGACAAGGGCTTGGTGTGGCCAAAAGGAAAGGGCTCTGAGGCTCCCGGGCTGGGGCTGGTCAGGCCCTGCTGCATGACCATGCTCAGGGTTTGGGGATTGTAGACGGCACTGGCTGGTGGCTGCGGCTGGCAGAGCGGATGAGTGGAGGTGGTGACACCCTGGACCAGGGGGCACTGTGCAGTGAAGGACTGCTGGGGCAGGCCTGGGCTGGACAGCGTCTCTGGACGATAGGGAGTTAAGGGCCCCGTGCTGCTGGTGGGCAGAGCAGACATCTCATGCCCCTGAGGGTGTTCGACGGTAGAGGACACCAGGTTGCCAAGGATGGAGGTCTGCGCGCTCAATGGTGGTGGCTGCTGGAGCGTGGAGCTAGGGAACTTCTCTGGCGCGTAGGGCCTGGTCGGCCCGAGGACGGTGCTGCTGCTGGGCGCCAGACTGGATAGTAAGGCGTTGGGAGAGCCCTGGAGGGTGCTCCCCGGCAGGCTGCTCGATGGCATACAGGACACCATGAGCCCCTGAGGGCTGAAGGGTGGCAGCGGCTGTGGTGAGACCACGGGCCCCGGCTGGTAAGGCGGGGAGAGGCCAGGAGGAGGCAGGGCAGACCAACTGGTGGTGGGGCCCAGCTGCTTCTTACTGGAGCCCTGCTTGCTGGCTGCCAGCGCTTTCAGCTGGTGGGCATGATGCCACTGAGACACTGGAAGTGGTGGCGGGGCGGCTGAGAGTGTTGCCTGGGCCTGATTCTTGGCCTTCATGGTCGAGGAACTTGGGGAGGCCATCTGCTTACTGGCAGGTGTAACTGCATAGCTGAGCCCCGCAGAGGAGGGCGGGATCTGAAGCGACACCCCAGTGACCTGGCTGCAACTCGAAGCAAAGTCCTTGCTGGAACTGAGGCTCTCCAAGTGTGGCATCTGAACTGTGGGCTTGGCAGTCGCACCTAAGGTTGCCGGTGGGTGGTGGTGTAAGACCAGTGGTTCTTCCGGCTTGCTCCCCAGGATTTTCTCAAGATCGAGCTCACTCTGAGAAGATTCTTGAATTTCTGTGAGCTCCTCCAGCAGATCTTGAAGTTCCTGATCCACAGCCGGTGTGTTGTTGGTTTTGTCATAGTAAGGAATAGAGGAGCCTTTCACTCCCATTTCTGCTGTTGGTGGCTCTGCAAATGGTGGGCCCATGACGCTGCCATTCCTGGTGCTATTGTCCAGTAGTAACGGATGGCCAGGGGCTGCCATAGCTGCAGAGCTAGGGTTCACGGGTAACGCAGGAACTTGCAGCTGTGCACAGGCTGTGCTGGGATGGGCACCCGGGCCCATCGAAAGGGTGACATCCTCAAGGCATGGTCTCTTGATTTTATTAGGGTAACCCTCGTCACCCATGCCTGAAAGCTGGAAATCTTCTCCTTCCTGTCTCCGCTTAGTGGTTCTCTGTGCCTGGAAGAGAAAAGAGCAGACCAAGGGAAGAGAAGAGAAAGAGAGAGAGAGAGAGAGAGAGCGCGTTTATAAAGGCTTGGCACATGAATGCTATTGGACAGAAAACTTACAAAATGAAACAGATGTGTCAGTTTCAAGGCTTACAGTTGGGAAAATGATACAATATAGTCTATTTTTTAGAACCATGATGCTTTTTTGTTGCTATTTCATTTAGCCTGTCTTGCTGGATTTCATATGAAGCATTATGCTGTCTGCACCAAACAGTACAGAAAGTCATGCATAGGATTTTCAGGCAGACGTTGGTGGTCAAAGAAATTGCTAAGAAAGTTGCAATTCACACCTGTGTAAGGACAGCCTGATCTTTCAAAATCAAATGGTGAGGTACACATTGTACATACATACTGAACTTTTTTAGGTTGCTTCCCTGTCTTGGGTTAGATACATCAGGTTCCAGTGAGAAAACTGGCTACAGCACAGGCTTTGGAAGAACGAAGTAGACCTGGCATGTTCTTTTGGGTGGCTGTCTGAGAGACACGCTTTGGAAAACAACAACATGCAAAACAGTCACTGTAGAAAGGCTCCATGCATCTGTACACATGCATACACAAACACTTCCAAGGACACACACTGGAAGAACGTGCATGCAACTCTGTGGAGTGCTCATCTCTCGAGGGTGACTGGTAACTCCATTTAGTCTAGTCTCTGTATTTTTAAAAATATCGATCGTTTTTAATGGGAATGACTTGTAATCCCCTCCTCAAATGTATAAAGCTTCCCAGGTGGCTCAGACGGTAAAGAATCTACCTGCAATGTGGGAGATGTGGGTTCGATCCCTGGGTCAGGAAGATCCCCTGGAGAAGGAAATGGCTACCCACTCCAATATTCTCCTGGGGAATCCCATGGACAGAGAAGCCTGGCGGGCTGCAGTCCATGGAGTCACAAAGAGTTGGACACGACTGAGCGACTAACACTTTCACTGTAATCCCCCCCAAATATACAGCTATCTAAATAAGAAATGCCTGTGTGCAGATGCATCATTAGGTTGGGGCAAAAGGAAGCAACAGGGAATGGCCCTAGTCTGTGATGTGCACTTGGGGGAGCTGCCTGCCATTTATAAAAGTCTAGCCTCTGGGAACACAGAAAAGCACTTAGTAATGCAGTATTTCCTACTCATTCAAGGTTCATACGGTCATCCACCGCTGACCTGTAAGTGACCACGACCTGTATGTGAAAGTGAAGGGGGCGGAGCAAAGGATTCTGTGGGAACCACATAAACACCAATGCTCTCGCACCTCCATTTCCCCTGAAGCCCTTTCCCATGAAGAAACCTCTTTCCAACTTGGCAGGCTCATCAGGACATCCAGTCATGGTCCTGCGACATGCCCTCACATTTGGCTTGCTGGAGGGCCAAGGCGTGTTTGTGTGGGGGGCCACCTGCTAGCGTGACAGTGGTTATTACTCTCACGGCAGAGTGGACATCAAAAGAGGTCCCCTGGGGCTGCACATCCAGGGCCTTGCTGCCCATCAGATTCACCTCGAAACCCCCAGTTTCCTGGCTCTACCACCACTGTCTCCTCTGGGCTGGGGCCCAGGCTCCCAAGCTCCGTCACAGCTCCCTGACTGATTCTCAGTGGACTGCCAAGTTGATAACCACTGGCCTAGAGCATGGGTGGGGCAGGATGGCCTAGAGCCCTGGTCTCGAGGCAGACATAACTATGCATTGGCCTCAACACAGAATCTCTGAGTCCTGAGTTTGTTTATATAATCAGTGTCCTTTTAGTTCTCATCTCATGATGCTGCTCAGACTATTATGGAAAATGGGACACAATCTCTGACATCTAGTGGGCCCTCATTAATTGCTGGCGCATTACAGAGGGCAGATATGGAAGTGCTCTGGGAATCCAACCCTGTCCTTTGAAGACGGGGGCCCTGAGACCCAGGGATGGGTAGCATGGCCAGAGGGCCCCTGGGGTGCCCACAGATGCAGGGCCTGCCTCCACTGCTCAGCTGCCTCTGGACCTACAGCCTTCATTCCCCCACAGCAGGACGCTGACCACCACATCTCTGCAGGGTGGGCTCCCCCTCTCTGAGCGAGGGTATTTGCCTACTTCTCTGCCTTTCTTCTCACGAAGTCTGCAACCCCAACAATGACGCTTTCAGGGGCAGCTCTGCCACCAGATTACTGAGGCCTGACTAGCAGGGGTGGGCGGGAAGGGGCTGGGGTGGGCTGCAGGAGGCACAACGAGAAGCCCTCCACTCAGCGGCCCCCCTCCTGCCCAGGAGTGCTTACTGTGGACGTGGCCCACGGCAGGTGCTCAGTAAACAGCAGCTGAATGAATGCATGGACCAATGAACACAAATGACCCAGCACCCAGTGAGCTCTGTTTCGTGTCTTCCTGGCCGTTCATTCAATCAGTTAAGGGCCACAGCCAAGCTACCATGTTTCAGACTGAAATTTGGTCTCTTTTATTTTTGCCCGAAAACTTAAAAAGAAATCCAATATATCAAAAATAGAAATGTCTAAAATGGATCAGTAAGGAATGACTCAGTGTGGGCTTTACATAGGATCCCCTGCTGAGAGTCCGAGCTGGCAATAGCTATGCCCAACAAGATGTTCTTAATGTCTTGGAATCAACGGAAGTTGAATGCTAGGGAAGTGCTAGGAAGGACCAGGTTGGGGGAGGAAGGGGTTGGGGGGATGGGAAGGGAGGGCACGGGCTGTGAGTTGCAAGGGCCTGGACTCCCTGGCTCACACTGTAGGTTTCAAGGTCTTTCATTTAACTGTGGGTTGGCTGTTATCCTTTTGGGACTAAAGGAGCAAGATGTAGGGAAGGTAGGCCACAACCACCAGATGAGAAAGTTAACAGTGGGAACCACTGGCAAGGAAAGGGGCCTCCAGCTCTCTGAAATGAGAGTATGTGCCCCCAACTTTTTAGGCACTCACTGAGCGCTGCCAAGCCATTATTCCCCACTCAGTTCCACTTTGCCAGTGGCTGCAGCTTTGCATTTTCGGATTTTATGGGGAGAGCTTTCAACAGTTGGCCTAAAGCACCCTGGCTGGATGGCCAGATCCCCAGCCAAGCCTAAATAAGCTGAAGGAAGTTGGCTGTGTGGACAGACATGCTCAGCCAGGCTGCACTAGCATCTTCTCTCACCAGGCCTCCAGGAGGCGTGGTGATCTATTGCAAGTTCAGTGTCTCCTCCATCAGGATCCCATGACTGCTTACTCATCTCTATTGCGAGAAATCGGCCTGGCTTTCCCTGCTGCTGGTGCCACACTGACATCATGGCTGGGTCACCTGGGCACCTGGGTGCTGCTGCTACTGAGGTCAGCCTGTCTGGGCTAGGGTGCTTGACTGAAATGGGTGGCCACCCTTCTGACCAAGTGTCACAGAGAGCTTGCTACCCAAGAATGACTTCTCTTCTCAGCGTCATGTTGGGGGCAGCAGGTTCCCACCAAACTTCCAGACCCTTCTAAACAGCTTTACCTATGGCCATTTCCCAGTCTTTGTGGACTCCGTACAGCAAGCTGTGGACGCAGTTCCCAGGCAGCCCCTACTTCCTCCAGGTGGGCCTTGTACTACCCGTGACCCCGCCCTTTCGCTGGGAGGGCTTTATTTTTTTTTTTAACAATAAGGGAATCAGTAGCCACCTGCAGGACTGCCAGAGACCACATCTCAACCTTCCCTGTTTACATGAAACAGAATGGGTTATGATCTGCTCATCGTCCACAGCTAGCTAGGGGCTAACACTAGCACTAGACCCCAGGAGGCCTGCGGTGTGGAGTGGGGAGGGCAAGTGAAGGATGGTGCCCTGGTGTCTTTTAGAAAGGAATGACTTTATCTCCATCCACCAGGACCAGCAGAGTCCCATTTCATAATTGAGCAGACAAAGCCACCAATGTGATCCTCACGACCTGATAAACATTCATTAAAATGCATTTCAAAGCATGTGATGCCTTCCCTGCCCCCTAAATAATGAGAAAACAAAGGCAACCCTTCTGATAGGGGCCAACTTCAGCTCTGAAGTCAACATTATTTCTGGTTCTGTCTGAACAATGACATATGGCAATTCTTCCCTTTCTACACTTTAGTCTGGAATGGCAAAAAAAAAAAAGGCAACAAAATCTTGGAAAAAGGTCTAGGTTGTAAGAGTACAGTCTGGGCTCAGAAAACAGGCATAAATAGAAGAAAGAATATTTCATATATATATGTATATATTACTATTTCATATACATATGTATAGAAATAAAACATATATATATATATATATATTACTCATTCCAAAGAAGTCTGGCAGGCTGCTATTAACACTTAATTTTGGACACTCTAGCTGGTGGTTTAACAAGAACACCTACAAAAGGCCAGCAAAAATATACACTATCCGTTTTGTCTAAGAATGTAGGAGGGTGTATGTGTCCAAGAGAGACCATTTTTTCCCTTCAGAGGCCCTGAGCAAAAGCATCACGAAGCTGGAGATCGCCTGTGGCGGTGCAGTCTCCCCTGCCTCCCTCACTAGCGCCCCCTGCGGCTCTGCCGGGCCGGTCTGCTTTTGCTTCTCTCAGGCTCGCTCTCTCACAAGACTGCCCACGCACCGTCAACACCTTCCGCCTGCTGTTACATATGCTTCCAGTGAGTTGCCAGGAACCTCACACTGGCCAAGGAGCTTGGATTTCAAGGGCCCTGAGACAAGAGTGTTCCCCAGTAGACTTGCTCAGAACAGACGACATGGTGGGGCCTGGGCGAGGCAGCCCCAGAATAGAATAAGAGACGATGCAGCAGGACCAGGACAGGGTTTGCAGGAAGAGAGAGGGGGCAAAGTAAATCCTCACAAACTAAAACTGACATTTCTGTAGTAAAAACAGGACTTTCAGCAGAAAGACTTTCCAGAACTGTAAAGACCTGTGGCTGTGGAGAATCCCAGGGTGGATGGGAATGGCAGGGAATCCTGAATGCTGATTGGCTTCTAGAGGAGTCAGTTTGTCTCAGGAATGAATCTCT